ATTTTTCCCTGTTTATCAGTCATTATTGAAGTGAACAAGAATTCTTAATAAATCTCTGATCTGCCTTTCAATACTCACACTATTATAAGAAAGTCTTTCTTAAGCTCACTGCTCCTCCAGCCTCCCCCACCCATCTGAAGCATCCCACAATCCTTACCTCACCATACTGTCTCTCTGCTAGAGAGAGATACTGACCACATATTGACTCTCTGCTTGGATTTTGTCTCTGGGGGCTAGCTGAAAAAGATTTGAAGATTTGAGCTCCATTCCTACAAGAGGAGTTCAACACTCCTACTCTTAACCATTGCCAGGTCTTGTTAAGGTGATTTTTTAATTTAAAGGTAAAGGTTTTCCCTGTCCAGTCGTAGGTGAGTTTGGCTTATCTCCATTTCTTAGTGGAGGGAGCCACCATTATCTGAAGACATTTCCAGGGTCATATGGCCAGCATAACTGTACGCAGAGTGCATGAATTGAATTGAATTATTTATTGGCCAAGTTATCTTCCCTCTGAAGCGGTACCTATTTATCTACTCGCATTTGCATGTTTTTGAATTGCTAAATGACCAGGAGCTGAAGCAAGTAACGGGAACTCATCCTGTCACACAACTCTCAGATCTCAAACTAAGGCTGTCAATTTTTCAGCCAACAAGACCAGCATCTTAACTGTTGAGCCAATATGTCTCCCTTGTTTTAATGGACTGGCCATCTAATACTTTGACCAGCCATGTTTCTTTTCTGTTCCTTCTTTCGTCTTTCTTATAAGCCAGTTTGGTCTTCAATGCATCTTCTTCACTGTCCTTCAGGTATTCTTCCAATGCCCTTTTTTCTTCTTTAATTTTGTGGTGTACTTGCAACAATTTCATTCCTATTTAGTTTTCTTGGTAAATAGATTCAGTTAAGATTGCTGTGTGAATGAAGAGCCCAATTCACCATTATTTTTCTGGTCTTCTAACAGGGCTTGTAGTTCTGCTAAAGTCCAATCCAATATTATAACAGATAATCAGAGTTGGAAGGGACCTTGTAAGTCATCTACTTCAATCCCCTGCCCAAGCGGGAAACCTTACACCATTTCTGACAAATGGCAGTACAATCTCTTCATGAAAGTCTCAAGTGATGACGCTCCCACAACTTCCGAGGGCAAGCTGTTCCATTGGTTGAATGTTCTCACTGTCAGAAAGTTTCTTCTTATTTCTAGGTTAAATCTCTCCTTGTTCAGTTTCCATCCATTATTCCTTGTCTGGCCGACAGGCACTTTAGAAAATAGCTTGAGCCCCTTCTCTCTGTGGCAGTCCCTCAAATATTGGAACACTACTATCATGTCTCCTCTGGTCCTTCTCTTCACTAGACTCGCCATGCCCAGTTCCTGTAACCGTTCTTTCATATATTTTAGTCTCCAGTCCCCTAATCATCCTGGTTGCTCTTCTCTGTACTTTTTCTAGAGTCTCAACATCTTTTTTATAATGTGGTGACTAAAACTGGGTGTAGTACTCTAGGTGTGGTCTTATTAAGGCTTTATAGAGTGGTATTAGTACCTCACTGGATCTCGATTGTTTCCCTCTGTTAATGCAATTTAGGATTGCATTAGCTTTTTTGGCTGCTCCTGCACACTGCTGGCTCATATTTAACTGGTTGTCTACTAAGACTCCAAGATCCCTCTCACAGTTATTGCTATTGAGCCTGGTTTTACCCAGTCTATATGTATACTTTTGGTTTTTCTTGCCTAAGTGTAGGACTTTACTTTTCTCTACATTGAATTTTATTTTGTTAGATACAGCCCAGTGTTCTAGTCTGTCAAGATCCATCTGGATCTTGAGCCTATCTTCTTGGGTGTTAGCTATTCCTGTCAGCTTAGTATCATCTGCAAATTTGGTAAGTTCCCCTTCTATTCCCTCATCTTAGTCGTTAATTGAAGAGTACTGGGCCTAAGACGGAGTCGTGGTGCTATCTACTCCACCTTTTTCTATCTTACTAAGAAGTAGATTGTGGTTTACTTTGTTGAATGCCTTGCTGAAATCTAAATATATTCCAATTGTGTATTTTATGACTGGCATTGCACAGGTGTTTTGATATTTGAAGATGATGATATTTCCTCCACAGAGTTTGGACTTTAAGATCTTCATTCTTCCAATACATCTATAAATAAAAAGTTGATATTATAACTCTATTAGGAATTTTATTGTACCAAAAGAAGTTAAGAGACATATTTTTATTTTATTTTTTCCCTCACTTCACTATCTCTATCCTCTATCCAAGTCTGTTGTTCTTCAGAAAATGGATCTGTGATTGTACTGAAAGAGTTTGATTTGAAAACTGCAGGATGGAGACTCAGGTGCTTTATAAATAGCATTGAAACTAACAAATAATATAAGTAGAACAGTTCATTATTGTTTTGTTTTCATTCCTCAGTGCAATTTGCTAGCCCTATAACCTGAGAATTTCATAAAGGAAATACTAGTACAAATGCTCAAGCAATCCAAATGCTAATTGTTTAAGTGTGAGTTTGTTCCTTGTTGTTTTTGACTTCCATCTGGTGGACACTGTATTGTATTGCAACAAATGTTTCATTTACAAATGTTCGAAATGCAGTTTCTCAATCCAAATTTGTTGATTCAAAACTAATAGCGAGATTGTCCAGGGTTTGACTTAGGAAGGAACACCTCTCATCTCTTATTAAGATTTCAGAATTTTATTTATTATACAATGTTATGAGCTGTTTGATTCTTTACTATATTATATCAAAATGAAAATATAATCTGGACCCTAGACAGGGTGGCAGAAACACCTAAACATTTTGTCATGTTGATTTGGTCAGGAAGAAACCCTTGAAGAGCACTAGCTTGTCAATAACTAGGAAAAGGACCAGCCAAGCCAAGCATGAGAAGATTCAAAGCTCACTTGAAGAAAGAATCAGATAGTAGCAATAATAGTAAGGGGATGTTTGCCTATCAGAATTGGGCTTCTTTGGGGCTATTGAAGAGTTGTTATCATCACATCAAGTGAGCAGTTCTGATACAGATACAGATAATCAGAGTTGGAAGGGACTTTGTAGGTCATCTAGTCCAACCCCCCGCCCAAGCAGGAGACCCTACACCATTTCTGACAAATGGCAGTCCAATCTCTTCTTGAAAGTCTCAACTGATGGCGCTCCCACAACTTCCGAGGGCAAGCTGTTCCATTGGTTAATTGTTCTCACTGTCAGAAAGTTTCTCCTTGTTTCCAGGTTAAATCTCTCCTTGTTCAGTTTCTATCCATTATTTCTTGTCTGGCCTACAGGAGCTTTAGAAAATAGCTTGAACCCTTCCTCCCTGTGGCAGCCCCTCAAATATTGGAAGACCACTATCATGTCTCCCCTGGTCCTTCTCTTTACTAGACTAGCCAAGCCCAGTTCCTGCAACCGTTCATTGTATGTTTTAGCCTCCAGTCCCATAATCATCCTGGTTGCTCTTCTCTGTACTTTTTCTAGAATCTCAACATCTTTTTTATAATGTGGTGACCAAAACTGGATGCAGTACTCTAGGTGTGGTCTTACTAAGGCTTTATAGAGTGGTATTAGTACTTCCCTTGATCTTGATTTTATCCCTCTGTTAATACAATTTAGGATTGCATTAGCTTTTTTGGCGGCTGCTGCACACTGCTGGCTCATATTTAGCTGGTTGTCCATTAAGACACCAAGATCCCTCTCACAATTACTGCTATTGAGCCTGGTTTCACCCAGTCTATATGTGTACTTTTGGTTTTTCTTGCCTAAATGTAGGACTTTACTTTTCTCTATATTATTCAGACAGATTATCTAACCTAATGGAAAGCAGCTTCTGGGCATAAGTGCAGCGTTGCCTTCACTGATTGCGTAAAGGTCTCCAAATTTGCATTCATATCTTTTGGAATTGAAATGTTTCCAGATGGTTGCCTCTGAACAATATCCACCCAAATATATTAGGCAGCCCTTTTCTCTTTTCCCACTTGAATGGTTTTCTGTTGGAAGAAAAAAATAAGGCCAAAAATAGATGTGAGAAGATAATGAGTTAGAAAGAGTGGACAGTATTGTCATCTGGGCTCCTAATAAAAGACTGAAGCAGGATGGTTGCACAATAAAACATCACCTAAAAGTTATCTTAGTTTTCAAGAACAGTAGGGAACATGGTCTTCCTTTTTTCTCCTCACTTTGAAATTAAAAATGGGTCAGAAAGTTTAGAGCTTTTTAATTTTTTTCTATGGTGCTAGAAAGAACTGCTGTCATAATGATAAATTGTGTTGATGCTCATTGAATCTTGCAGCTGCTGGGGCTTTATGTTATGATATGGAAAAGAACAGGATAAAGTTGTGCAAATCAGTCAGGAGACAAGTTCAGCATCATGGGTTTTATGGGTAGGATTGGTTTTGCAGATGGTTTCATAATGCTGTAATTAATGAAGAAAGGCACTTATCTAAGTTACCCTCTGACATATAAATGTTATATGTAAAGACAATATTCTTTTGTAGGGAATGGAAACTTTCCATTTAATTTAAACAAAAAGAAAAACAAATTTCAAAGTTTGACACATTTAACCAGTGCAAAAAAAAGTAAAATCAAGGCTATAGGGGCCAACAACTTACAAAATCTTGCAACCGGGCCAATGAGATAACTGTAACCATACTATTGCAATTAAGCCAAATTTACTTCTTTTCATATTAAAATTTGTGGAGAAGGAAATTATTCCATTTTCTCCTGTATTCTGTTACTTTCTTCTGTCACTATATTTCCCTTGCTTTAACTCCTTTATCCATTTGAAAACAAGCTTCAAAAAAGGAAGAAGTTTTATATAACCAAAATATTCCTTGAGTTTTCTAATCTTGTGCTCTCTAGATAAACTAGATTTAATCTCTCATCATGCTTGACCACAAGATGGAAATCTTGAAGTTGAACCAAATGTCACCAAGTCATTTAAAGTTGTCCTTGGTAGTAATTGTGTGGGGTTGATTAGGTTTTACATTGCATTAAATATACTCTTACTTCCTTGCAGTTTCGACGTAGACAATGGCACCTCATCGGGACGGAGTCCCTTGGATCCCATGACAAGCCCTGGATCAGGGCTAATTCTCCAGGCAAATTTTGTTCACAGTCAACGCAGAGAATCCTTTCTCTACCGATCAGATAGCGACTATGACCTGTCGCCAAAGTCTATGTCCAGGAATTCCTCTATTGCCAGTGATATGTAAGTATTTTGAGCTTTTTCAATCAATTTTTTTTTTCAGATGAGAGAATGATTAATATGTAGAAAATGTAAGGCATTATAATTCATGAATGGAAATTTCACAGGAGCACATTTAAATTGTGTATTTGGAGAATATTAATAGTAAGAATTGTTGAATTCTGAAACAAGTTTTAAAGGACATAGATTATGACCCACAGAAGAAAAAGTAACTAATAACTTTGTTGTAGGAATTCTGTTGCAACCTCTTCAGGAGGCAAGGAAATTCTTTACTGCAATTTTATTAGTTAGTCAGGATTTGATGTTGACAAGATCTTCATGGGTTACCATGTTATTTTAATTAAAATAATTAGACTTCCTGAATCTGCCTAAGCTTCCTTATTTTCAACATAGCTAATACAACTTTACTAATTATAAAATATAAAATTTTATATTGAACAGTGTCAAATCATATTGATTGCCCATGAACAAATAATAGCAAAAATAGACTAATTCCTCTTGAACTTAAAGTAAAAGGAAACTGCATAGGTTTGGTTTTTTTTACTTCTTTTGAGGCAGAATGATACTTTTACAGATTACCTTAGATCTTTACCTTCGTGGTTATTAAGTTCCCTTTTGGGAAATTTCCTTCAAGCCTCTTCCCATCTTCATAGATACCCAGTCCCTTTCTACTCCTTGTTTAAAACAATAGTTGGTTTTGGAAGCCTTGTTGCTTAGATTTTGTGGAAAACTGATCCAAGGTACCTCTTGTTTGCTTTCTAAACTCCATTTTTAATTTTGAACATTAGTATTGGATTTCTTTTTTAGTTGCCTCCCAAATATGTTTTTCCTCCCCCCCCCATCTTCCTTTTTTTGATCCATTTCCTTCACTTTCTTCTTTACTTTTCCATTTTAAATACTCAAGCTGACATTGTAACAATAAAAGTAACACTTTGCCAGGTAGAACACTGTATTCAAGAGAAGAAAATATAATACCGACAGATACTTCCTGCAATACCTCCTGCTCCACCCATGCATTATTTGTTTTATACTATTTTAATTAATCAATCTGAAATTTGCATGCTCAGTTGGAATTCATTGGAAATGTGTCATGCGCTCATAAAAAAAAAAGTTGAACTGTGGACAGGAGTAGAAAAAAGCATCCTAGAATGCTGGAGCTAATAGCATGAACTAGTTTTGCAATCAGCCCAAGGCACTATATGGTCTTTTTTTTTTTTTTTTTTGAGTAGGCAATTGTTCTGTGGCGTGTGTTGAACTGACTTGGCTGATCATTAAAATTAAGCAGTCAGATCTGGTTTGGAAAAGAACTACAGAGGAATTCCATGGCTGTAGGCTAGAAAAAAGTTGAGGAAAATTTTCCTGGAAGAAGGCTGTGGCAGATGATTTCTATATTGCTGCCAGAAAACTATATAGAGTTGGCTATTAATTCATCAGAATCCAGCTCAACTGAAAAGATGTTCGCTTCTTACTCTCATGGCAGCCATTGCTAAGAGTGCCATACAATGCTGCCCACGTTCTCGATGTTTCACCGGTTTCAAATCTTGTACTTGACTATGTATTGACTATGAATTAAGCATACATATGAATAAGAATTCTTTTGTTTTTATTTGAAAAATTTTGATTTTGCTTACTTGATACATTTGCTTCCATATGCAACACACACACACACACACACACACACAAACAAAATTCTAGAAACAGAAATTATAGATGTGAAGAATAGAGAAAATGGAGGGGGAAACCCTTCTTTTGAGCTAACAAGTTTGCTAATAATGGCTGAATGAGGTTTTTCCTGTCTTCTTCAGCTATAACCTTAAAGCAATGTTCACACACATTAAAGATGCCAAGATTGAGAAAGCTGCCTTAAAGAATAATAACCTTTTCTCATATTTAGAAATTTGCTAAAGTATTTCTGTTTAATGCAGTGCATTTGACATTTGCTTTCTCTCCAAAATGCTCATTATTTCCTGAGTTGCTAGCAAAATCTGAAGTGTTTTTTGCTAAGTAACATAGAAGGGTAAAATTTCTTTTTTTTACTTTGTTTAATTGTGATTCACTATGGGGAAAAAAGAATGGAGGCAATTTTATATACCTACAACTCCTGTTATATACAGGACAAAAATAAGTTTGTTCGGCAGTAAGTTATATCAATATATCTGGCAAGGAATCAGATTCAACTGCATTTAAATTTGAACGAGTAAGGCCCTTGGACCTTAAGAAATAACATTTGCAACAAAATTCTACATTTTTTTTCCTAAGCTGATCACATTGATAATAATTTGAGCAAAGGATTCAGTAAATGCTTAACATATTTGTAGCAAGGAACAGCTGGCCCTTTAAATAACAATCTGCCCTTAGGTTTTGAGAAGGAGTCATGTGACCCCTGAGAACCAATAGAAGAAAAGCAGAGGTTTTATTTTATTTTTTATTTTTTTTGGCAGCAAGAGTTGGAATATTTTGCAGTTGGCTGGAATCCCAGATGACGGAGGTTACTTCAGGCAAGACTAGAAACTCAGGAGTTGTTTCGTTGAAGGCTAGAAACACATTAGGGTTTTTCTATATTTTATTTTATTTTTAATTATGCACTACTTGTCTGGAACTTTATCTTTCTTTGACATCTTGATTTTTTTTCTGTTAGTGAAAGATTGGCTAAGCAAGTTATTTTCAAAATTTTGTTGGGTTTCCCTTCCTGTAATCTACTTAGACCTAGGTTTGGATCAAGATTTCCCCTTAAATCCTCTCCTGGTTCCCCAGATGGCTGGAGGAGAAGGGAGAACACTGTTCGTTTGTTTGTTTATCAAATATGTACAAGATAACAAGTATAAGTCTGAACATAAACAAGAACAAAGGGAGTAAATACAGATAAATGCAGACAGTACGACAGGGACGGTAGGCATGCTGGTGTGCTTATGCACGCCCCCTTTAAGGACCTCTTAGGAATGGGATGTGGTCCACGGTAGACAGTTTGAGGTTGAAGCTGTGAGGGGTTGAAGCTGTAACAACGGAGTCGGGTAGGGCATTCCAGGCGTTGACCACTCTGTTGCTAAAGTTGTATTTTCTGCAATCAAGTTTGAAATGGTTTACCTTGAGTTTGTATCGGTTGTTTGCCCATGTATTGTTGTGATATAACAAACTTTATAATAAAGGAGTGGTGACTGCAAGGGGACCAACTTTTTATCACTATTTACCTCCAAGCACAAGTTACATCAGGACCAAAGCATCACAGAAGAAGAAGGCTATAGGGATTCTCAGTGATCCAGGTCATGGTTGTCCCAAGAGTGCTTTTTCAAGAGGCAACTGGACGTTCTTTGTTTTTCCTTGAAGATGTTTTGCTTCTCATCCAAGAAGCTTCTTCAGTTCTGACTCTGACACCGTCATAACTGAAGAAGTTCCTTTGATGACCAGCAAAATGTCTTCAACGGAAAGTAAAGAAAATCCAGCTGCCTCTTGAAAAAGCACATTTGGGACATGGAGAAAGGGGCTTCTTTGAGTCTGAGGGCATCTTCATTATTACAATGTTATACTGTTTTTTTCAATAATACTAGTTTTTCTTTACCTTGTTATAGTGATTATAGAGTTAGACAAGCTTCTGTAACATGTTTCTGCCTGCTTAATGCAAAGAGAGACTGTTCTGGGCTCTGGTTTTTAGTTCTAGTTTGATCATAGTAGGATGTTCTCCCCACCCCCCACCCCAATCAATCCTACCAACTGCAGTTATCTTATTCTCATTTTTATTGTATTTGTGTCTGCACCCTCAAGTCAGCCATGGTTCCTTGCAAGTCCTTGAAGGTTTTTTGGTAAGATTTCAGATGTGATTTCCCATTGCCTGTTTCCTAGGCATGAGAGAAAATGATTAACCCAAGATCACCAAGCCAATAGTGTTGTCATCTGCGTACCTCGAATTATTTATAGTTCTTCCCCCAATCTTCATTCCAACATCAGGCAGCTCCAGATCTAAATTTCTCATGATCACTTCAGCATACAGATTGAATAAAATGGTAATAAAATACATCTCTGTCTAATTTCCTTACTGATCCTGAACCAAACTGTATCGCCATAAAGTGTTCTCAGTGTTGCCTCCTGATCACTGTACATTGATCTGAGAACTTGGGACACCAAGATTCCCCCTCCCTCTCTCTCCCCCCTCTCCTCCTCTCTCCGTCTCTTTCTCCCTCCCTTGCACACTCTCTCCCTCTCCCTCCCTCTCTCTCTCACTGGCATACACACTAGATAGAGAGAGACAGACAGACAGACACAGACAGACAGACAGACAGACAGACAGACAGATAGAACAAGAACATTATTTTGGTTGATAGCCATAGTTGTGATTTTTTCAGTGAATAAGTGCAAATCCCTACAGAGGAAAAAAAAAGTAATAAACATAAATGCAATCAATATATCATAATCAAATACTTATTTCATGTAGAAATAGATCCCAATGACATGAAAACATTTTATTCCTAGGAGAAAGTTCATAAAATTGCAGCCCAGGCTGCCAAGCTCTTTCTTTTTAAGAACATTGCTTTATGATTCAGTCTGTTCTACTTTTTAAAAAATGGTCAAGTATTGTCTATAGTAAAAAAAAAAAAAACACCAAACATTTAAATTCAGCAGTAATTGGAATTATAAATCAGTTCCAATAAATCAGATTCAGCTGTAGGTTCAGGTTGCCAAATTATTCTTCCTCCCATCAGTAGATGTAACAACCAAATTAGGGAATTTTCCTCTATGAATATTGCACATAGTGTTCCAACTGGGAATCCCTGATTGTGTTTTGTTTGGTGTAAATGTCCAGAGAGAAAATCTCCAGTTTCTCTTGCTGGTCTCCTAAGAAACCAGAATCTGAAGTAGTGAGTTTGGAGCTTGGTAATTGTTCTGAGTTATTGGGTACCACATTTGTCAAGCTGCATTACAAAGCCTGATTATTTGTTTTCACTTTTTTAAAAACATGTCAGTTTAAGACAGGAACCAGTCACTTTCTATATTGCAGGTAGTCCTCAACTTACGACAGTTCTTTTTTAATGACTGTTCCAAGTTACAATGGCACTGAAAAATGTGACTCATGACCTTTTTTCACAGTTATGAATTTGCAGCATGATCCTGTGATCAGAATTCAGATGCTTGGTAACTGAAAACTGATTCATACTTATTGTCACGCCCCTGTCAGAATCTGATTTGGAGGGGGAGGCCGAGCAGATGACAGGGAGTGGGGGAGTGTGGCTCCGTTGGCTGTAGAAGAAACTGGGGAAGGGTGAAGTCTGGCTGGGCAGAGCAGGGGAGAGGGAAAGCGAGGGAGAGGGAATTCGGAGGAAGACCAGGCCCCTCCCCTCTTCATCCTAGGTCACGCAGGAAAGAACAGAGAAAGGAGCAACGTGAGTTGCGTGGCTTACAGGGGAGGAAAGGGCCCTAATTCCCTTCATTAGCTGCAGCTGGGCACACAGTGTTTAAAAAGGGAAGCTGTGTGAAGCAAGTTGTTTGGAGCAACTTGTGAATTATCTGGTATCATGGAGGCTTATCTGTGTTCCTGGCATCTTCCCAACTGTGTGTTTTTGGCTGTGCTTTCAAGTCTGCAATTCCTTCTCCTGCCCTGTGAAGTTAATTACTGCAGCATGGTTTGTTTGGATTTTTAGTTACAGTTTGTATGTACTTTGTTTTCGGACTGAATTTCCTCCACTTAAAGACTGTTCCTGGGAGAGTTTTTCTCCAACTGAAGGTAACCTGGACATTGGGGGCAAAGTTGGAGATAGTAAAGGGAGTCTTCTTGCCTATTTGACTGTTTTGCCTTTATGCCATGCCCTGGGTCATCACACTTATGACCATTGCTGCATCCCAAGGCCATGTAATCACCTTTTGCAACCTTCTGACAAGCAAAGTCAACAGGGAAGCCAGATGCATTTAACAAACTGGTTACTAACTTACACAGTTGTAAAATGGGACAAAACTCATTTAACAAATGTCTCACTTAACAACAGAAATTTTGGGCTCAATTGTCCTTGTAAATCATGGACTACCTGTATCATCTCTTTGTTTAATATAAATTCATACCTTCATGTGTTAACTTTCACATAAAATTAAACACATGAAAACATTTGGGCTGCATAGAAAATTATTTTACTATAGTCAAAATTGTGATAATCTCTTGCTCTTTTCCTTCACTTGCCAAGACAAATAACCCTGATTCTAATATGACAGTATGATGTGGGTATGGTTACTGGTAGGTAATACTATGGACATGTAAATGAGTAGAAAAGTTTTACTGAGTTTTTATTAATCCACAAAATAATTCCTTATCTGCAGTAGTTGGTTCAATTTTTATAAAGTGTTCTCTATTAGCAATAGTTAATTCAGTTGCTTTCGGTGCTAAAAAGGGCTTGCCCTCTCCAATTAAAAAGTAATTGTGAATTCCATAGTCTTCTCCTAATTCTACTGCTATACATGGTGAGAAAACAGATTTGGAATTCATACTGATCTCCTTATATAGTTGTAGCTTCTTTCCAATTGAAGTGAATTTGGTATTATAGATGCTTAGAAATGACTAAATTACAACTGTTTTATAATTTATGATGCATCTGACAATAAAGGTGGAAAGAGAAAGGAACTTATGGTGAGGCTGATGAAAATAACATATAAAATAGTGATGATTTTGAACTGTAATATAGAAGGGGATTTTAAAATATGTTACGTACTAAATTCAGTATTGATTTATGTTCTGTGTTTTGTTTTCTAGACATGGAGATGACTTGATTGTGACACCGTTTGCTCAGGTAAGTACCACATATTATAGTGTTTCCCCCAAAATAATACTCTGTCTTATATTTTTTTTCCACCAAAAAGGCACCAGATCTTATTTTCGGGGGATGTCATCCACTGACTAGCCTCACTTGTGCGTGTCACCCCCAGCCTCCTTTCTGCTGTCATAGGCCTTCAGGATCTTCTTTTGTAGCCAGCAAGACTTTCCTGAAGGCCTCTGCAGCTGATAACAGAACTCCAGATTGATCTGGAGCTTTCTTATCAGCTACAGAGGCCTTCAGGAAAGCCTTGCTATCCTTGATGGCTGCAGAAGAAATGGGCCAGCAACACAGGTGTCGGGGTGCGTGAGGCCTGGCTACAACTCTCCAAAGGTAAGTAGTAGGGCAGCTCCACCTCCACCCTAGCTTAATTTTTACTAGTACACTCTGGAGTGGATGGGACCTTAATTAGGGCTTGTTTTGGGGGTAGGGTTTATATTGGGTGTACATGTAAGAAATCAAGCTAGCACTTATGTTCAGGATAGGTCATATTTTCAGGGAAACAGGGTATATAGCTGGATAAAAAAAGAAAGAATCTCTATTTTCAGTTTCAGGCTTCCAATTATAGCACTAGAAGAATTATAATCCCAGCTATGGCATAATCTTAACTGGCAAAAGAAAAGAAAGAAATGTTATTTTTACTTGTATTATTTGTTTGTTGAAGTCATAATCTGTCATTAGTCAGACACCATATAACACCTCGATAGTGCCAGACACATCTGAGTGATGATTGCAAAGGCACACTGCTTGATAAAAGTTCTCAAGACAGATGTTCAGGACTCAAAGCCAGCCTATTAATCTGGTGACTATAGATATCCTAAGCAGTTGTATTTGTTAATATTTCTCCTAGCGGGTATCAGTTAGGACACTAGAATGGTAACTATTTCTCTTTAAGCATATAAAGAGTTATTCTCAAACATTCATGCCAGAGTGTTATCAACAAAACAGGATTGAATGGATTTATTAGAAAATGTCCTTATTTCATTTAGCTACCAAATATTTAAAAGGTTTTTACTGAATAAATATTTTATTTTTATGATAATTTGGACAGTAGCACAAAAAAATTATTGGCAAAATTTTGTCATTTGAGAGAAGAGGAATAGGAGTTGCTTTCTAGGAAATTTAGTTTTCCCTAAGACAAAGTCTATTTTTTGAAAACAAATAATGAATTGGTGTTTTATAGTAAGGAAGAGATCACTAAAACTATCACCCTAGTATCATTGTAGTGTGTATGCATTTCAAAATAATTAGCAAACACTTAAGGCAGACACACAAAAATCCTGAAAAGATTAATAACTTTGGTTTCTCTTCAGATCACCCAATAACCTGTTTAGGAAGCCACCTGTTCAGAAAGCTGTCTGTTTATTGTTGTCAAATAAATCACGGCAAGAAAAGCATCATACCTGAAGAATTTGATAGTAAATTTTTATGCACTTTGTTTGCCACAGGTGCTTGCCAGTTTACGTACTGTACGGAACAATTTTGCTGCATTAACCAACCTTCAGGATCGAGCACCTAGCAAGTAAGTGTGGGCTTTTTCTGTTTCCTACCAAGTTTGTTTTTACTTAAATGCACCTTTTACATTGCATAAGTTCTCCTTTATGTAAGTGAGCTTAAACACAACAATGTAAAACAAAGATGGGCTTCATTTAACACAAGGCCTGAAGGAGCCCTCCAAATTCTACTTGTTTTGGCATCTCTAAATGCAATTGCTGAAAATAAGCAGCATGGCTTCTGACTGTTTTGAGAGGGGAAATCCAATATAAACGACAGTTATTTTACAAAAGAGAGAAAGAAAGAAACAAGTCCCATCTGCGGAAAATGAGGAAAGTTCCAACATTCCTTGTGTGTATGATATGACCATACTTACTTCAAATGTTGAAAGTTCATAATATGTGGAAGGCATCAGTTGCTCAATATTCCCAGACGCCGGGGGGTGAGGGGAGAGACGACTTGTATAATCTAAAACCAGGGGTGGGATTCTACCAGTTTGCACCTTTTCTCTAGAACCGGTTGTTAACATTCTAAGCAATTCGGAGAACTGGTTGTTAGAAGAAATTACTGGCCTAATCCTGTAAGGAAAGCAGGAAGGAAACATTCTGGTGTTGCTTACAGAAACTGCCTCTCCATTAACCCTTATTACATTCTTGGCAGGACTAGACTTCCTGTCTCTGGAACTTCTCTGGAGTTTTTTTTCCCCTCCTTTGCTGGTACTATGCTTGTGTGGAGTGACCATTGAAAAAAAGTGACTTATGACCGTTTTTCACACTTACGACTGTTGCAGCATCCCCACAGTCATGAGAAGCCAGGCGAGGAGATGCGTGCCTCGATGTGAGTGATACTGAGTTGGCCAAGCCCAGCCAATAACATGACCACCAAGCCATGTCCACTCAGTCACATGACCACCAAGCCACGCCCACCAACTAAGCCATGCCCACAGAACCGGTTGTTAAAAAATTGAATCCCACCCCTGCATCAAGCCATGTATTTTCTATGTTGCATTAAGTATGGCCTTTATATTATTAATTCTTTCTGTGTTTTTAATTATTAAAAAGAAATATCTCAGTCTGTCCCAAGATCATCTAATAATAAATACATGATTTCATGCTTATGACTTTTATTTTTTTGACTCTCTCTCTCCCTTCTTCCCCAGACGGTCACCAATGTGTAACCAACCATCTATCAACAAAGCAACCATAACAGGTAAGATATCTTAAAACAGTCACACTAATTTAATAAGGTGATGTTACTATCTTGTGAATATATCACACTTTGCATAATCTGTTCCTGATGTATACTTTATAAAGTCCTTTAAAAGTCCATAACAGTCTTTATAGCTCATATAAGTATATAAATAGAATTTCTGCTTGATCTGAAATCTATCTTCCAGTTTCCCAAGTTTTTGTTTTTTGTTCATTCAAGCTACTTTGTGTAGTTTTCATGAGCTTTATTGCTATGAGGAAGTTGCCCTTACTATTGTTTTCCCTCTACACATCTCTCCAGCTCTCTGTAGTTGAAAAAAAGGAGCAACGGGGGATTTCCTTCATAATACATTTAATATGGATTTGATACAGACATGAAAATATCTGTTTCTTCCTGTTTGAATAAAAAGAAAGCAATATTTTTTTAAAAAAAAATCAGTGATAATGGTTGAAAAAATTCAGAACATGGATCAATCTTTAATATCCTTATTGTAAATGAAGGCCAGCCTGTCCAACACTCAGCATATTTGTACTTCCTGGGGCCCATTGGGTCAGGAATGACTTTCACTTCTCGGCTATTGACTTATGCACTCAAATTTAAAAGTGTTTTTTCCAGGGGTGGGATCCAACCGGTTTAACTACCAGTTCGGTGATTTACGATTTGCTTCCCTGCACGCTGCGCAAGCATGTAAATCTTTGTCAGCTTGCTGCCTGGACAGCTGAGCAGTGCATTTTTTTCCTGCTTTTTCAACCTCAGCTGCCATGCAAGGCATGGCAGCTGAGGTTAAAAAAGCAGGAAATAAAGATCAGGTAAGAAACTGGGTGGGTGGGTGGGCAAAAACATCAGCAGACATAGAACCGGTTCCATGTCTGCTGCTCTTCAGAGCTACCGGTTCTACAGAGTTGGACAGAACCGATAGAATCCCACCCCTGGTTTTTTCCCACCATTTCGATTTTTTTTTTTAGCATTGTACAATGGTGCTGGATAAAAATATTTTGTGTATTTTTAAATGAATTGCTGTTCCTTATTAAAAGTTGCTGGGGAATCCAGTGATACCAGAATGGGAAACCTGAATATGGAACTAGAGTATTTTAGCCAGAGTTGGATAACATACAACAAAGAGGTTCTAAACATAACGAAGTGTACTGTTGGATGCAGGTTAAGCTTTCAGCATGTAGTAGTGGTTGCAATCATTTTTGGCAGGAACATCAAATTTATTGGTAACCATTTTCCTGATGGAAGGAATGAGGAATATTGCAATCAGTCCCCATGGTTTGAAGGGCATATATGCAGTAACTTGCTATGTTTCTGAATGCATACAAATATTGTTGGGGAAACATGTTATTTTAGCCATGCTGCAGCCTGCATATAAAGCTGTCATCCTATTGTATCTGAGCAAATCTGCTACCTGTATTGCATGCTTCCAGAGAACGCCTACATATATCGCCCTGAGTTCCTTTGGGGAATACAGGTGGGATGTAAATAAAGCACAGTAATTCGTCTGTTAATGTATGCCCAGGCTTGCTGCTCCAGGGGACTTTCCCATTCTCTTAGGAAAGAGGAAAACCAGTCTTTACATGCATAGAATTTTAGGTGAAATGAACAGAGAGGGCTATACTGGGAAGTTTCATGTGTGTGTCATACTTATTTTCTCTTCCCAGAAGGGACTGTTAAATCATATCATGGGAAAGTTAGCACTGATTTAAAGCTAAGCATTAAACACCATTGCTACTACAAAAAGCAAAGTAAGCTCATTTTCACTTCTGTGAAATATAATGCAGATAGAATGGGTTGACTGTAAGTTTTTGTTCTTCCTTTTACTTGGTGGCACATTACATTTTTATTGATCTAAGAGCAAAACTGGGCACTTAAATGAATAACTTGAATTTAAAGAAAAAGAAAATGCAGATACAAGTTGGGAGAAAAGGAAGGAAAACATATGTATAGAGAAATGTTAGCTGTTTCCCTGTTCAAGATTGAGTCCCTGAGCCTGCAATTTACTTTTTTTAAAGCCATCTTGTAATTGCTAATTCTTGGAGCCCACACCATTAGAAAATGTATAGCTATAATGAAGTTGATGCAAAATCAGTGTTAAAGATGACTTAGTACTTATCCCAATCAAAACCTCAGATGTATGGATGTGACTTACTTGAAACGGTACTTTTCTGTACTCACTGCTTTATATTACATGATAAGCATGTGCAATATGACTTGAGGACATGCTAATGAAGATGAAGTTTCATTACAGATAAACATTTATAGAGTAAAATGCAACTACTAAAATACGAGATATTCATGTATGCAGGTGTTAAGGTTTTGTGGACTTGATGTAGCCACTTGTAAGTTTAAGCCTGCTATTGATCCTATCTATCCTGATCTATCTATTGATCCTGTTTTGAGAACAATGATACTATTTATTTCCTTACTTTTCTGCTCTTAATTTTACATCACTTGGTTTCTTTTATTAATAGGGATGCTCTTCCTTTCTAACAATTAACTGCTTTTTCTTTTGCCATTTCCTTCCGTCTTCTCATAATACTGTAATTATTTATCCAGAGTGTGTTGAATACGTATTCCTATCAGCACTCCTCACAATTAATATCCAACAGTTTGAGTTAATCTGCACAGCTATCTGAAAGTTGAGGAGTATTTCAATTCTGACAGAACAGCATTATAACCAAAAAGTCCCATTAAAATACCTTACGTGAGCAAAATCAGAAAGTGAAAGATTATTATGTAGTAAATATATCTCAAAATATATATGGAAATAATTGATGACAAGACATGTGGTGTTGTAAGCCTTCAGGTTAGTAGAAATCCATTCTGTAATTCAGAAATGAGAATATTGATTTTATGCTGGAATGAGGAGAGAGTCTAGTCTTATGACAATGCAGCATTCTTCACAAGAATATGTTTATAGATTGCCAATATTTAATTTTTTATCAAGGGAGAAAAGATTTTGGGTAATTGTGAGGAAGCCAGAATAATTTTAACATTAAAAAAAGATTAATTTTGTGCTTATTCAGCTCTTGCAATTTATTTCTGCACATTAAATGCAGATAATGTATTTAAAGTCAACTAATCTTATGCTAGGGCAACTCCGAAACCATTAGTTATATGTCTTCAGTCCCCACTTATGTTTTCCAGAGCATCCCCAGATTGTATAGCTAATTATCAGCACTGCGCTTTTACTGCTTTGAGTCGTTTTAAGTTTGAAAATAGATTGATTAACCATAACACACCTATTTTGAAGATTTAATTATTTAAGATTCTAAAAAGAGCTGGGATGTTTTGATCCCATTCTTCCAGTAACAGTCTCTAATTATCAGGCATACCGCTTATGATCCTCAGAGGCCAGTGTAATAAAAAGGTAGCTTTGAGTTTGTTTGTTTTTTTTTAAAAAAACTCCACATTGTTTAAAAGCTCACCCAGGGTATAAGAAATACCAATACTTTTCTTTCTCTAATAGCAATTACTAAGATGTCAGGATCCCACTGGTTCTGAGGTTCATTATTATTCCTTAAAACTAAATACCATCTTAAAATTTACTCCTTGTATTAATCCAGCATTTTTGCAACAGTAGCCTACAGTAGGCTTCAACACTATGAATGTATGTTTCATAATAACCATAATGATTAGAAAAGGGTTGCTAATTTAAAAGCTGTTTAACAGTACAGTATAATCCTGTGAAATCCTACTCAGAAGTAAGTCACATGATATTTACTTTGGCTTACACTCAGGAAAATATTAATAAAGCTGAAGATTGAAAAGAAAGTTGAAGCAAAACACTGGATGAGCGTAAGCATGGAATTTCCTCTGGAAGCAGCATGTGGGAGTCTGAACCTAATATTTCTCTTCTTGTAAGAAATTTTCTGACAACTTTCTCAGATCTGAGATTTAAACTCCAAACGATAGGGTTTGCTTTTTTCCATGGATCGGTCGAGATCCAGCTAGCTGAACAAACATAAAGCTGACCCAAACATTTAAGAGGTACCAAAGGTACAATTTCGTTTCCCTACCTCTAATCATAACATTATATTTGATGTTACAATCGTTACCATAACAGCAGATTTTACAGCACCAGCACAGAGTTTCCGGGCAGGGTATATAAACCCCTGGTAATGTGGCAATACAAGGTTTATAAAGACAAGCCAAGACAATAATAATTTTCCAGACCACCTTAGCTGGTTTGAAATTTGGCTCCAGATTCCTTTCTCATAGTGTTGCCAAAGGTGTTGAAGTGCTGACAATTCAACTTGTGTTCGTGGTAAAAAGTTTCACACTTAGTGGTCTTGCGGAACAGAGAACCTTCTTTGATAGCTTTGGGATATTTTTTTTTTAAAGGAATGAGTTTCAGTTTGCCATGTACTTAATGCTTAGTGCAAGTATTAGCGATCTCAGGTTCCAAACAGTTGAGGCATTCATAGTAGACTTGATAGCCCAAGTCATGGCCTCAGTCCGTAGTTCAAGATGTGCAAAGCTTCTGTATAAAATGTTGAGGTTTTCAATGCTACAATTTTTTCTCAATGTTGCATGTAAACTCAACGTTCCTCATATTTTTGAAAAGGCTATTAGAAAAGAACTGCTTCATCTCAAAACTTCAGGAAGATCTGTAATTAGAATTCTCTGTGTGTGAAAGGAAGAGAGAGAGAGAGAATGAGAGAGTGAGAGAATTAATATAAGAGGTGTATGTTAAGCCTATCCATGGTACAACTGCCTCACATTGTTGTCACGTATTATGTGGAAAACAGGCCCATCAATACCTTCTGCTGTATTTGCTATATCACCCAAAGATAGGGATGTTTTGTCATTGATGTAAAAATTGAATTATGTTACACAAACAAAACAAAGCCACATAATTCACAATAATTATAGTATAAGTTTTGTTCTTAAATTGGCATCTTAAAGTTGTAAATTTTCAAGTACCTCCCAATAGCAGGAAGTTTTTCCATTCTATGGAAATATTTAAGAAAATTATTTAAGAATCATTATTTCAGAAT